TTGCAGTCAGTCTTCCCTTGGGTTTGTTGCAGAAATGGAGCAAGTGGCACACACACAAACCCCACAACCCAAACCCTACAGGCAGCGGCTGAATAGCAGCATCATGCAAAACCAGACAATTCATTTGCAAAGTCAGACCCCCTTCTCAGTCCTATTGTTGTTGTTCATCCTCCAATAATCCAGCCAGAGCTCTTTTCCATAAGTACAGCACTTTCAGATTTGCTTTCAGATGGCATCAGTCTCCTTCATCTGCACGGGTCCTTTCACACCTGCACACAGCAGCAGCCCTGATTCACGCAGGCTTGTGTGTGTCCTTCTTTCCCAGAAACTCATCCAGCCCTGGAGCAGGCAGTGGAAGCCACAGCACACAAGGGTGTTAAGGCATCACAGGTGTAACACCTTGTTTCTGCCCCATACCCAAAGTACACTCAGATTAAACAGTCGCTGAGTGTGGGACTGATAATGTTTGTTAAAACACCAGTTGATTGACAATAAAATACATGAATCACCCCATTGGGAAGTTAACTTCTGCTCAGATAAGCATGCATTGCTTCCCAAGGGAAAGCTCTCAGGACCTAAGCCAGCAAGGTAAAAGGTTTTTTAGGTCACTGAGAGTAGCAGGAGCTCTGTGGGTGCCCAGCAGGCACTGCTTACTGTGCAGCCCAGCTCCTTCTCCCAGGAGCTTTGCCACATTTAACCCAGGGAGCACAGCTCTGAAGGAGTGATTAAATTTCATGCTGTGGTTGCAAAGTAGGAATAACATGCAAAATGGGATTAAGTTTTAATATAATCTCCTATCTCACAGTCCTGGACCACCTAGTAATGTCAGTGAGATAATTCTAAGTTTATTAACATTAAAAAAGGCATCAAACTTCAAAGGGAAAGCAAAAGAATACACTGGTGATGTCAAGAGCATGCTGTACCACCAGCGAGTCAAAGTGTTACTAACTACATTTTCACTGTCTTCCACTGGCCCTGAGCTATTTCCCCAACCTTTGAATGGGCTGACACAGCCTCAGCAGGGCAGCGAAGCGTGGCACCAGAGGTCAACACAGCTCCATCCCCAGGGCAGCTGCTTTGTGTGAGAGGTAAGGGAACTTTGCACCTGGGAAGAGCTTTCCCAAGCTGTGAAGGAAATTCTCAAAGGGAAATCTACACTGAAAATAAATCCATACTGGAAATTACTTCAGATGCAAGCAAAGAGAAGCAAAGGAGATTTGTGCTGCAAACAGCATTCTTGCTTTTTTCACCAAGTGGGAGCCCCACTGAATTCACAGGCTTTGCTGTTTGGTGCACCCTGGGGGTGCAGTAGCCAATTTTGATATCCTTTAGTTCTCAGGAACTGTGAACTCGGTCCTCCCTCCACTGTGCTAGACACTGTCCCCGTGTGAACCCAAGCTGGGAATAGCAGCAACCACCTAACCCTACAAGCCTGCTCAGATGCCAATGCAAGAAAAAATCAGGAGTTATTTTGAATTCAACTGGGGAAACATACAGAAATACAGAACTGAATGCAGTGCATTTAAATCCTCTCTAGCTACTTTTCTCTGTTTTGTTTTGGGGGCTTTTACTGTTGTTTTTTTGTTGCTGCTGTTGTTGTTTTGGGGTGGTTTTTTAGTTTGGTTTGGTTTTTTTCCCCCTGAAGCTTGTGTTACCAGTTAAGCACCTAGGTCTCCTACCTACTTTACTTATTAAGCACCTCCTGTCTCACACCTGGGACAGACCCAGACCACATCTGGGCTGTGACCCTCACCCACCCTCTCCAGATTTGTGCAGGAGGCCACATTTGACCAAGGCACCATCGAAGCACACCTGTCAACACATGCTTTATGGAAAGGCTGTGAAAAGCAGCAGGAAGTGCATCCTTAAGTGTTCTGCTGAGTGAGGTCTAAAGCCCTACAGCCCCATTCTGATTCAGGCTGTGCAGACAATTCCTTGAGCCCCAGGTAAAGCGCTGCTGAACTGCTGGCAACGCATAGCCAGAGCCTGCTGATCCTACTACTGACAACCTTCTACTCAAACTTTCAGGTCCTGAAGTCTTCCTGTTCTCAACCTTCCTTGCCTGTCTGATTACTCTGACTCAAAGGAAACTCTGCTGGAAGTAGGCAGAGTTAGAGGAGTGCCACTGAAATTACACATCAAATTTTAGAGTTTCAGTTGGTTCTGCAGGAGGATAGTCAAATGTACCAGAGCACTTATAGCTAAAATACATGCAAAAAGTGCACGTATTAGTGAGACCACTAATTTATAAAGCACTGTTTGCATTAAAGAAATCACACAGAAAAGAGTAAGTTTGCCTTAATATAATGATAATTCAAAGCTTTTACAGAAGATGATCTGCACCAGAAGAATAAAATAGAGCAACAGAATGAAGTATCGTCATCCATCTGCGCTAGTTCTGTCCATCCTTCTTGAATGAACACATTTCCCAGGGCATTGCTTCCCTAGCAAGCATCTCTAGTTTCACACCAACCTACAACTACACCATTTTTGAACATGTAACTTATATATAAACTTATATATAACTTGAGGTAGTCACCAGTCACCAAATAGGAAATCATGTTTCTTCTTGAAAGAGGCAATTAGCTAGGCTCTGGCTCTAAAGACATTGCAAACAAGATTTACTTCTCATTAGCCATCAAAGCCACAGTTGTGCCATGATTATAGAAGTACTTAAAAAGAAATAAAACCTTAGATGCTTGTGGCACAGCAGTTTGCTCTTCGCAGTGGTTTAAAATGTATGCCAGCAGTTTATTATTTAAATATATTTTCACGAGGTGAATGCGACAGAAACTGCTGCATTCCAGTTACAAAGCAATGCTAAAGAAGAATTAAGAATTACAGTTAAGTTGTGTATTATCATGTAAATGACAAGGGAATGTCACATGGGATTCTGTGCATTGTTCGTAGAGATAAATGCAGTGAACTATAAATACAAGTTCAATAGAGAGCCTTGACAGTTCAGCAGCTGAATGAAAGCTAGTCTTGCAGGCTGCTGGGACATTTTGAAATAAATACTCATACACAAAGATGCACTATCTAACATTTCTAATTAATCAACCATTATTTTTGTTTGTAAAACTGTTGTCTTATTAAAAAACTACCCTCAACCCCCCCAACAACACTCATGGCCAAGGAAAATTGTATTTATGTGAAGTTTAATCTAAATAATGAATATTAATAGACCAAAGACCTCCTGCAGGTCGGAATGCACATCCCTTCCTGAGTTCAAGGGAGGGTTAGTGCTCAACACTGAAAACAGCACCTACTTGCACAGCAGCCACTGGGGCATGTTGCTGCCTTCATCAAGAGCTGCCTGTCCAGATGCAGAAGAGATTATGCTGCTGTTTGTTTATACCAGGATATATACTGGCATTTGGGGTCTAAAAAGGATTAGTTTATCCTTTGTCCTTATTCTGGCATTATTTCAAGCCATACAATGACCTCTTCTATGAATACTGGTACATTTAAAAAAGCAAGAGATGCCAATATTTTATTTTGTACGTCCACTGCTACTACTTTGCCCTAGAACAGAAAAAAACCCCTCACCAACTACTTCAGCATGATTAAAAAGCTTGCCTGTTCTTCAGTTCTGCCTCCACCTCTTCATTGCAAAGATAACCAAAATGGGAAGACAGTATGAACACCACTGAAAGCAACTGCCATCCCAGGACAGGCCTCTGGAGCAGGAACAGGTGACATGACCTGTGCCAGGTTGGTATTCAGTCCCAGCACCCAAAAAGGCAGACAGCAGCTAGCCCTCACCTGCTCTGTCAGCTTGCTGAAGCTAACTGCTTCAATTATCTCGGGGTTAGCCCAGGCAGTCCATTTCAGGCTTTGAAAACCAGATAAATGTCTATTCAGCCGAAGCACTCACACTACTTTAGCCGCTCCAAGAGCTTTTCCCCTTTCAGGGACACCTAGGAATGAGAGTAGTGTTTGAAAGCTTAACTCTACCACTCCTTGCCTCAGAGGGAATGAGTAAAAGTTCATTCTGTTCAGTGGAGTGTCAAGCTGTGAAGTGGTGACCTCCATCACCCAGCAGGAAAGACCGAGGAGATGCATGCTTCCCTGTCAAAGCTCAGGCAAACATCCAGGCCACAGAAGGCAAAACATCAACACACTTTACTGAAATATCAGTTTCTTTAGTATGTTACAGAAAAGTTTATGAACATATACAATGTACATAAAAGGCAGACTTTGTAAAATAAAAAGGTCTTCTATAAAAAAAATATTAAAAAGTCAAAGTAAAGTGCATGAAACAGTTTTTCCTCCACTTTAACTATTGTGCCAAAGTCTTAGCACATAGCAATATTTTTTAAAAATGGGAGATCTTCTTGTGCCACCCATTAGTCAGTTACTTTACTGGTGAGATGAAATTATGAAGATTACAAGCAAACCTTTAAAAATCAGAGCAGTTTAACCCAATGACTCCACAAAAAACCTAAGAATATGGGCTTCCTATACACTTCTCATCAACAAGATTTAACAATCAGTGGAAAGGTTCACTCTCGTTAAAGAAAACTGGTAGGAAACAAGTTTCATAAATAGGGCAGTTTTGCTAGTTAGGGGCTCCCCTATTGTGCAATCAGTTCTTGGTCTATGAACATCAACATTCATACTTAAATATGCCGTTGCAAAAGGAATAATATATAAAAAAATTTTCTGCCTGCCTTCGTTGGAAGGAAACAAGTTACTCGACCCCAATCCAGACAAAAGACGACTGCTTTCCTATGGGGTCTCTTATGAGGGCGAGCGCACGAAGAGAGTTAAGGAACTGAAGATGCTGAACCCTCTCATCTTTCCAACTCTGGGGGCAGAGTCCTGGAGTGGAACTGGGCAGTAATTATAGCGATTATAGCGTTCTGCATCCTCAGAGTTCTTGCCAAAGCGAATCAATCGCTCCTGTCGGCAGCCGCGGCAGGCAGGTAGCCCATCACTTCCCACGTCCCCGGCAGCCATAACGACTGCGGGGCACCGAGGGGGCAGCCTGGGGCCCGCGGCCGCTGCCGGGCCAAGTCCGCCTCGCTGCCCGGGAGCGGAGGAAAGCACGCCGGAGCGCGGCGGCCCCGGGGCGCTCAGAGCACGGCGGCCTGGGCGCGGCAGTGGGCGATGTGCCGGTGCACGAAGTCGACGCGGGCCTGCAGGAGCTCGGCCTGGCGCTCGGAGAGGAAGCCGAGGCGCGCCCAGAGCGGCTCCCGCGCCCGGTAGCGGCGGCGCAGCTCGGCGGCGGCGCTGCGGCGGCGGTGCAGCTCGGCCACGCGGCGGGCCGTGGCCTCGCGGAACACGCACACGGAGCGCAGCAGCGGCTCGTTGTAGGGGTCCCACATGGAGAGGAGGCGGTAGCCGTGCACCAGCCCCGCCTCGTTGTCCATGAAGACGAGCCCGCCGTCGGGGGCGCGGAGCAGGTTGCTGGTGGCGCGGCGCATCACCCGCGGGTCCCACTGCAGGCTGAAGAGGTTGCTGACCAGGCGGTCGAAGTTGGCCGTCAGGTAGTCGAAGAGGATCAGATCGCTCCACTGCACCAGCTCCACCAGCTGCGACGGCGACAGCCCGACCAGCTCCCCCGCCGACAGCGGCTGCAGCCGCCGGCCGGCGCCCGCCTCGGCGCCCCAGGGCGCGGGGGCCACCACGGCGGTGAGATTGTCCACCCAGCGGGTCAGGCTGACCACGGCGCCCTCGGCCCAGTGCGAGCCGCGCAGCTCCTCGCGCACCGGCTCCCACTGCCGCCCGCGGGCTTCCACCAGGGCGAGGGCCATGGGCGGCAGCCGCTCCTGCATGCCCAGCACCCCGGCCAGGTGATACGAGAGCGCCTCGCCCTGGATCTGCTCCGGGTTGATGCCGTAGCGGACGCAGGCGCGGCTCCCGTCCGACAGCCGCGCCAGCCGGTTGGAGCTGCGCCCGCAGCCGCCCCGCTCCAGCGAGGCCACGCGGGCTGCGCGGGCGGCCGCCAGCCACGCCGTCGCCTCCTCCGCCGCGAAGCCCGGCGGCACCTGCTCCTCCAGCTCGCGGCTCCAGAAGATGCCTCGCTCCACCGGAGAGGCGGCGTCGGCCGGCGGCTGCGAGTCGGTCACAGCGAGCCGCTCCTCACCGTCCCGCTCCTCCCGGTCCGTCGCCGCCGCCGGCACCGCCAGCAGCGTCCGAAAAGTTTTCTGCCCGCCGCCGCCGGACTCGCCCCGCACCGGCGGGGAGCGCCCCCAGCCCCATCGCCCCGGGGACTGCCCGGCGGGCGGGCGCGGCTCCGGCAGCGCCGCCGCCTCCCGCCGCAGTAGCACCGTCCAGAGCCCCGGCAGGGCGCCCAGCAGCAGCAGCCCCAGCACGGGCAGGGGGCCCGGCGCGGCCCGCCTCGCCCGCTTCATCCTCACGGCGCTTCACGCCGCTACCGCGGGACGCGGCGGCGGTGCAGCCCCGCCGCTCGGCCGCTCAGCGCAGCTCTGGCGCATGGCCGCGGGCCGGATCTGCCGCCTGGGCAGCGGCGACGGGAGCAGGCGAGCCCCGGCGGCTGCCCCACGCCGTGTGCGCCCGGCTCCGCCGGCGGCCGGGAGACACGGGCACCGCACCACGTGGGGGAGCCGGGGGGGCGCGCCCGGCCCGCCCCGTCTCCCGGCGTGGCCCTCCGCTTAAAACGGCGATGGCCCGCGCGGCGGGGGTGGCGGTCCCACACGCGGCGGAGAGCCCCGTCGAGGAGGCGGGAGGGTCGCGGATGGCGTGGGAGCCGAGCCGGGCGCCCGCCCACGGAAAGGGAGAGCGCTGCGGCGCGGGCGCTTGGCCCGCCGGTTCCTCCCCGCCGCTGCAGGCAGCACAAAGGAGCCTGCACACCGAGGGAGGAAAGCGGGGAGGGGGAAGGGGAAGGCGGTACGCACGCCAGCGGGGCCGCCCCCCGCGCCGGTGCTCGGGCGGCCGCGGAGCCCCGGGCGCGACCGCGCCGCCTCTCGCCCACGGCCGCTCGGCAGGGTCGCGCCGCGGTCAGCGGCAGAGCGGCGCCCCCTCCGCTCCATCGCCCCTCAGCCCCGGCCCCATCCTCGGCGCCGCGCGGGGGCCGGGAGCCGGCAGGTGGTTGCACAAAGGGATCGCTGCAAACACGAGCACCGCTGCACACCCGGACAGACACCTGTCCCCCGCCGTGGAACCGGACCCACCCGCACAGCGCTGCGTGATGCCGCCGGTGACCACGGGCGAGGCGCGGTGGTGAGACCCCACGGAGCATCACCTGTTCTTCCCGCTTCGGTGGGGGCCCGCCTGCACGGAGGGCAGCGCCCTTCGCGTCCTTTGACACCGGGATGTGCGCGGTGCTCGTGCACCAGGTGTGTCACGGACCAGCTTTTCCTGGCATTTTAACCCTCTCGAGAGGGGTTAACCCCCCTCGCGGGAAATCCTGCCCGAGGGAACGACAGCCAGCCTTTCTTTTCAAGTTGTGTCTCTGTGAGGTGTTTAGAAGAGTAGCTATTTCTCTGTTTCCCATTTCAATTTTTCTGCCTTCTCAAGCCAAAGATGCTTAGCTCTGCTCTTTCAGTATTTTACCGGGCACTTCTCTTGCAAAGAACACGTTTGTGAGCCGAATGAGATTAAACACCTCTCCCTTCTGCTATCATTGCCGTGGCTATCCTCCAAAGTAGTTATTGAAGTTGGATCAGTGCAGCAAAACCACCGCACGCAGAATCTTAACTACTGCAAAAGAAAAAAATTCCCTTTCTCATCTCTTGAACTCTTTTTGCTCTCCTGAGATATCACAACAACTCCGTTTTCCAGCCACACTCCAGTGTTTCAGGTTGGATGGAATACAGTTTATTTTCTTTTAATATAAGTATTAGGGAACTCTTTATTTTTCACAATTTTGTTAAAAACATTCAAACTCGCCTAACACACCTTAACAACCCACAGATACACGCACAGCTATACACAAGAAACCCGAAAACAAAATAATATTTTAAAATACCTTAAAAAAAAAAAACCAAAACAAAACCACCACAAACAACGCAAAGAAAGGGGGGGGGGGGGGATCAGAAGTCGAATTCGCTGTCTTTTTGTCTTTTTTCCCTGTGTTCTGTCTCAAACTCGCGGGCGGAGCGCAGCGGGCGCTCCCCGGCGCTCGGTGCGGCCGCGGCCGTGTCGCACCAGCACCTCCTGCCGCCCCCGGCTCCGCGCTGCAGCCGCCGGCCGCACCGCCGGCACGGGCACGGCGATAGCGAGAGATGGATACTCACCAGCCTGGCGCCCCTCAAAGGCTGTACAAGCTGTCTAACATTCCTCTTTCTACCCGAGAATTCAGGTCCCGAGCTGTTCCCACCATGAAGCCTTATTGCCAGATGACGCTTTACATTTTCGCCCCCTGAAGCCACAGGAGCTGCGCGGTGAGCGCCAGGTATGCGATTTGGAGCTGGTGATTGCTACACTTCACAGTGGTCGATGAGAACAGTGCCGGCACTCTGAGCAGGAGGATTTTATCCTACAGTATTTTTACCCAAGAAATGACACAGAATTGCCTCTGTTCTCTGCCACTTTCTGGCTCGAAATAGGTTTAAGAAAACTCCTAGCTTGCTGGAAAATTATTGAAAGCAAAAAACTAATTTTATACCATACGTAGGTTGGACATGTATTTTGCTTTATATGAATTTGTGTTTCTTTCAGGTGAATTATGCTTCTAGTGAGCATCCAGCTGCCAGTGTCTGCACTGGGATTTCTCCCCAGAGAAGAACCATTGCCATGGATAAGGACGCTAGATTTCCTGTTATTAAGGTGGACATAACCTCCAAGTTATGCATGACATTAATTTCAATTACAGCTTGCCTCTTGTAAGTTAGGCAGTTAATCAACAGGCTATACTGTGACTACACCCTTAAATCAATAGCTGGGAAAACATCACTTCCCCCAAAAACTCTTCCTCCTCACTGCACTCTTTGAAAGGAGTACAGCCAGAGTTTAGCTGAGCCAGCCCTCTGGCTAATAATCCTGCCTACAAGCTGCAACATTTTTAAAACCAGACAATTGGTAGAGGGTTAAACATCAGCCAAACTGTTCAATTTACAGCATGTTAAGCATTCCTGAAACTGTGATCACTGATATATTTGGGTCAATCAGATGTCTTGTTAGTGCTTTGCAGACATTGCAATGAGCAGCTCAGAGATAAAGAAGAAAGCCCTATGCTGGGGAAGGGAGTGCTGGCTACTGTCCAGGCTCAGAATCCTAGCAAGAGAAAAGATAACAAAATAATTTCTGGCTTTCCCATGTTGTTTCTTATATTAACTTGATTTTAGCTGTCTAGCAAAGCTAGGCTTACAGAATATCTGACTGCTGGTGTTTCACACTGTTTTTAGTCTAGTGAAGGTTTTATTCTGCTCATTGTCTTCCTGGCACCCCAGTATCCACCTTCTCAGTAATGTGGAGTGTCTGTCATTGTAGACAGCAATTCCTCCCAATAAAGGCAGAAGAAACAGGAACTGAACAGAGACTTGAGGATTTCTCCCCTACAGTGAAAATTATTTTGCATTCAAGACAAATGCCAAACTCTAATGGGCTTTGATAGGATTAGGATCATGGGAAAGCAGATGGAGACTTTATTTTTCTGGACACTGTATCTGTGCTGGAGCTGAGCGGCCCTGCTTCTGCTAACAGTCTCTGCTTGGCAAGGAAGGCTGGCAAACCAGGCACAGAGCGAGATCCTGAAAGTATTAGCACCTCCAAAGCACCCAGAGGTGTACCAGTGCTCTCCAGGGCAGGAGGAGCCTCCTCCGTGGCTGGAGCTGCAGCTGACAGAGGGGATGCATCTGTAGCCTGCTGCAGGGAGGACTGTTCGCCATGAGCAGGCACCCTCTGGCTCAGGCGAGTTCTGGCCTGTGCTAACATTGCATATCTTTGAGTGATACTCTCCCACAGCTCAAGGCTTCAGTACAACGCCTCCGCCCCCACATTGCAGAGGCACTGCATGGAAATTATTTCCCAGCACAGACCTTTTTGGACTACCAAAATTAGTCAGTCCCCTCCAGTAATTCCCAGGCTCATGAAATTCTTTCTTCCTTCACTGAGTACTGACAGACACTTTCTATTCAACATTGGTTTTACTGCATACCCAAAGCCACACCTAACACATCTCAATGCCAAGTTATCAAGTCTGGTGACTGCCACATCAACCACAGCAGGGCTGTGAGCTCCTTTCCTGGAGACTGCAGGGGCTGAGCCTGAGCTGTTGCTTCATGGGGATCTCCCTCACCAGCACAACACATGAAGCCCTTCCTTTACTCTACACTGGGGTTCAGGATCCCAGGGTGGCATAGGAATAGAGTCCTTTTATTCTGCTCCAGCACATTTTTTCTACATTTCATTTTTATACAGCTTGCTCCCACCTTGAGTACTTCTCCAGCTCTATCTGCACTCTTTCTTCTTTATCAGTCAGGTTACCAAACACCTCTATTTCTATCCAGCATTTCCTCAGCTGTCCATGGATAGCTTGTTCCTACCCTGTCTAGCACCTTTGGCTCCCGGCACTGAGTTGGTGCCAGTGAACTCCCAAACCAGTGAGAGCCATTTCTAAGGGGACCTCTTGAGGTTGTTGTTGGGAGAGGGGCACTGAGTACATGGTACAGTGTGCCTCCACCTGTGGGGCTTGGGTCTGCTGCAGACAGGCTGGAGCAAAACCATGCCCCTGCTTCCTCAGTGCTGCACTTTCCTGTCTCTTGACATTTCCTCTCTTTGCATTTTGACTCTCTGGGTTTGGGTGAATGTGGGTATCAGGAGCTTCCATCAGGGCAGTATCTATTCTCCCCACCCCAGTTACCTACACTGGTTGATTTGCAGGGCTCTTTTTTTCCTGCAGGCTCAGATCCTCTTGCCAGAGTAACCTGTGTGTTTCAGTTCTTCCTGTTGCAAGGAAGTTACTTAGACTAGCTGGCTAGGGGTGAAGAGTTGTGCCTGCAAAGCTACAATAGGTACATGTTGGGGTTACCTTCAAACATTTCTGGTGCCAAAACAGCTTGTTTCTCCTGAGGAAAGATGGGGAGTTTGGGATAAACCATACAGGCAACAAGTTAGTGTGCAAAAAGCTGCTTAGTGTCGCTGTAGGTTATTCTCACACTGGGAGTGCTTGGTACAAACCTATCAGCAGCACAGCCCATGTGTATGCCTGACCGGCTCTGTCAAGGTGGATTTGTATTTCTCAGCCTAAAAAATGCATCCCTCATGATGAGATATTCCAGCAACTGAAGGGCAGGATTTGCAGCTGGCTGTGACTGAGGGAGGGCTGAAGAAGTTAAGGTGCTCTGCATTTCATATCAGGGAGGTGTACTTTAGAGATGTTACCCTGCAGGCGTGTTGGCAATTTCTGGAAATATTTACAAACTTGTCTCAGCCTGCAATGGAGAAATCT